GCCTTTATCATTGTTTACAACCAACGATGGAGCAACTTCCCAATCAAGATCTGTGATAGGTGTAGTCCAGTCTTGCCTGGCACCCTGGAAGTAGTATGCTTGTGCGTGGAATGCTGTGAAATGTGTGAGAATGTTCACCAAGTAATGTGAAGCTGGCAGAAGCTGCAACTTCTCACCAACTTCATCAACATACATGTAGCAGCCCAATGGACAACGTACCTGTGGGAAACATGTGTCATTGAGGGCACGCATTAAACGTGGCAGTTCACCACTGGCAATGTCTTCGTTAAAAATAGATAGAACAGTGCTGACGTCAAAAAAATGTGGTTTGATGGTTATCGCTTCACGCATTGCTGGCAACCAGTCATCGACAACAGGAGTCCAGCTAGCACGAATGCCATACGCCAAAAACTGCATAAATGTCACGGCATTTGCATAGTGTGGTTTAGTCAAACATGTCCATATAACAGCGGGCCAAGCATATGCCCATGACGGTGTGGTTTCTTCGTGGACTGTACGAGGGCAGACATACGAACTGCACAATGGACAGACCTGTTCGTCAATGCTCATACCTGTACGATCGCCAAATTGCCGATGAATTAAATGGTTGTGAATCGCTAAATGAGGCTGAAGGAGTATAAAAACGAACGTGTGTTCTGGTGTTGGAGACCTATGGCAGACAGCACACGTCTGAAGACCATTCATGACAGGTACATTGGGTTCTACTGCATTGTCGTGCAAATGAATGTTGTCTTCTGCAGTCGGCAGTGTATGTGGTAGATCAATGCTAGCTATTGGTGGGTGTTGCTCTGCTGAGACATGACACACATGTGACATATCATGTGTGTCACTCATGTCAACCGCAGCATTGTCATGATGACGTTCCTGTGAAGAGCAGAACACGAAATGCAGAAAGTTAAATATTGTACACATGTTGGTGAAATGAGCTGTTGAAATATAAGAGTTACTGCGCATGGTGAGTCGAGCGTGCAATATTGCGTGGAAGTGCGTAGTGAAATGTTTCACTAAATCAGGAAGTGTCGCAGAGTGACAGCGCTGAACTGAGGTACATTGCAGCCGGCTATTGCTGTGATCAACTCACTTGCAACGGAATGAAAAGCGACCTCATGCGACGTTGTACACGCCATATATGTAGGATACTAGTAATACACATGTAAAACGTATGATACGCTTTGCTATAGCTACTGGTTGTACAGTTATAAAGATACAGCTGTATAAGTTTCATGACTGTGCTATATGAACATCTTATGAGGAATATGCGTGAAACGGCACTGCAATCGTCGTCGTCGTCGTCGTCGTCGTGGTGGGCACCTTTGTTGCCAAGACTGTGCGTGCTCATTGTAATCGCATACATGTGTTGCGAAATAAGAGCATTGCACTTACCGCATTCACTGATGATGCGACACTGCAGATGTTGTCATTGTCATGTTGTCGAGAACGCCCATCAATCGTTGGACACTGAATTCTGGTGTGGGTGTTCTCTCCACACAAAGAACAGGTGCAGGTTCTCTTCGGTTTCGGCATGCTTTCTCAGAAATGGCAACGGATGATTTCGCAAATATACACTGCAGACACAAACACATACAACATAAGACTAAGTTCCGCATGTGTATTAACGACATTGGAGCATACCATATGTGTGAATACAGTGGCAGCGGACACCACCTGAAAGTAGATAGCACAAGGGACAGAAGAGTGATATTCATATAATGTGCGATAGGTGTCAGTCATTGCCGATATATTGAGATCTGCGCTTACACATACACATACACATACACAGAGAGAGCGATAGACAGAGAGGGGTGAAACAGGAGAGGGATCGGAGAATGGAGGGCCAGGGTTGCGGAGACACACTAGAAGGACACGTTCAGAGAGCGGGGGCAAGACACACAGAGACAGACAGAGAGAGAGAGAGAGGAACAGACACGGAAGCAGACAGCGAAGGGCGCCACACACACGGGGTACACGTTCAGAGAGCGGGGTTTCAGAGTTGAGTGAGAGCGAGCAGGGTACGGGGCCGCGAGGAAAGGAATTGGTGGAATTGTGATGGGACAATGAGGCACGGGAAGGCAACGGCGAGAGGGGCACGTAACGCATGTGCGATGAAAACGTGCATCCTGGGAAAGTGAAGTACACTTGTACTTACCCATGCACGATGAATACAGATCTGCAATGGTGTGACTGTGTCTCTGTGTGTCTCTGTGTGTCTTTCTCTGTATTACTCTTTGTGTGTCTCGCCCTGTGCTCGCTGTGACAACTGCCGCAGTCACGACCTGAAAGTACACACGACAAGTGATATAATATCGGAGTGACATGACTTGACTGACGACGACACAACCGAGACAGATAAACAGGAAGACTGGAAGGAAGGTGTCTGTTTGTTTGTATGTGTGTTGGTTTGTCTCGGTCTGTGCTGACTGTGGCAAGCCATTGTGTGACATTATGAGAAATAGCGGAAAACCTGGCAAACCGCCATATGGCAAACATTGCGCTATAAATCTCGAGGAAAACTGCGTGAGTGGCGAGTGAGCCAGTCACCTGAGGAAAAACTCCTATGTCTCGCTGTGTGTCTCTCTCGCACTCCCACGGGCGGTACGTATTGTCGACGTATTGTCGTCGCCGCAGCCAGCAAGGGAGGAGCATGATTATGCATAGGTGTTGTAGTGCCACAACGGTGTGCGACTGATTGCATGCAGTTGTCGTCAGACGTACACGGGCTGGGCTACGGCCGTACGGCGGCATCGGCGGTCGCGGTAGCGATGGGGGCGGCAGGGAGCGTGCAGCCCCGGCGGCGGCCATCGGGGAGGGGGAGTTCGCTGTGGCGCAAGGATGGGAGGCTCAGGGCTACGTAACAGACGTGCGATGACAACGTGTAGCCTGGCAAACTAAAGCGCCGTTGTACTTACCAATGGACGATGAATACAGATGTGCAATGATGTTGCTGTGTCTCTGTCTGTCTTGCTGTGCATCTCTCTTTGTGTGTCTCGCCCTGTGCTCCCTGTGACAACCGCCGCAGCGACGACCTGAAAGTACACACGACAAGTGATATGAGTAAGATAATATAGGATAATAATATGATATGATAGAGGATATAATATCCTATATTATCTTACTCCTGGTCATATAATATCGGAGTCGCATGATTTCACTGACGAACAGATACAGACCGAAATAGATGAACAGGAACACAGGATGGAAGGTGTCTCTTTCTTTGTATGTGTGTTCGTCTGTCTCGGTCTGTGCTCGCTGTGGGAAGCCATTGCGCGACATGATGGGAAATATCGGGAAACCCACCAAACCGCCATATGGCAAACATTCGGGTATAAATATGGGGCCAAACTGTGGGAGCGGCGAGTCAGCCAATGAGCTGAGCAAAAACTGCTATCTCTCGCTGTGTGTCTCTCTCGCACTCCCACGGGCGGTACGTATTGTCGTCGCCGCAGCCAGCGAGGGGAGAGCATGATTATGCATAGGTGTTGTAGTGCCACGACGGTGTGCGACTGATTGCATGCAGTTGTCGTCAGACGTACACGGGCTGGGCTACGGCCGTACGGCGGCATCGGTGGTGGCGGCCATCGGGGAGGGGGGAGCTCGCTGTCGCGCTACGTGTAAAAACTCGCACCGACCTCACACGCGGCGCGTGGGGAGGGCCGAGTAACATGAAATGGTCACTGCACGAGGATTTCCGTGACATTTTATATCAATATTATTGTTGCCGACGGGTTCATAACAAGATTTGGATAATGAGTGGCAAAATGGATATACTAATGTTTAAAGGCAACATAATATATTGTAAAGAACAGAGTAACCATATGATGTTACTATTGTACAAATTTCGATTTATGTTAAATAGTAACCTTTGACGATATTGCTGGGATGACATTTAAAAGTTGGTCTTTATATTTACTCCAATCTGCATAGCAGCATATTAACGATAATATGTTACTGTGATGCAAACTGACAGTGACCGTATTATGTTAGTGTCATAGAAACACATCTACGATATAATGAGAAGTACATAATAGGGAATGCCTATTAGGCAATCCGTATAGGCAAAACCGTCTGATGTACTTCTGATACTATGTTAGTGTCTTACAAAGTCAGAGTTACCACATACCACTTAATATGACAACTGAGTTTCTATGGCAATAGTAGAACATGGTAAGTGTGACTTGATTGATATGCTATGGCAGTAAGATAATGTGGTAACTGTACTGTCATACACATTTCGAGTTACCATATTATGTTGTTGTTGTGGAAAGTGACAGTTGCCATTTTATGGTATTGTCATAGAAGCGCAGTTAGGATATAAAGTTACTGTCGTCGAAACCCAGAGTTTGAACTTACGAATATGTATCACTACGAATATGTACAAAAGTTAAATACTATTAGCAGGCCCCTAGATAGGATTGCTTTTTCTGTAGCCAAACAATGAGCCATAATCAATTTGGATAAGCCAATTTGGATTCGTGTTAGCGACATCTGTAGCCTAACATTTTATGAACACAAACACGCGATAAAAAAACTTGTCTTTCATTTATGTTTGCACAAACTTGTATATGCATCAAGTAGAAAACCGAAGTGTATATGCATCAAGTGAAGAGTAGATAATAACACATTATGTGTATTATAACATACATTATACATTATATGTATTACACATTATATTATACAGTATGTGTTATTATTGTGTTATTATCTACTCTTGATCAAGTAGAAAACCTAACTGATTTCATGCAAAGAAACTATGATTATGCCAGCATTATGTGTGCTGGAAGGGCTCTCGACATGAACTGTTGTGCATGGGTTATCAACCAGTCGGCAAAAATAATATTTCTATGAAATCTCACAGAAATCCTCATGCAGTCACTAGGTCACAATTGTTAGTTACGGCAGGTGAGAATATGCGCCACATGACGTACACAAACATTCCAGCCCCCCTCCTCCCCCCACGCGCACGTGGCCAGGCACGGTCGAAATGCTATGTGCAACACACGCTGGCTCGGGCAGTTTTTATGCCGCGGGACGGCGCGAGCGGCTTATTATTTCAATAACATAAAAGAACAAGTCGTTACGCTTTTATCAGATGTCTTCTACATCTCACTACATCTATTCCTATCTAAATTCATGCAATCATGAGTGCGTGCGTGCGTCCGTATGTGCGTGCGCGTGCGTCGGTATTGTGCGTCAGGTACTGTCAAAAGACGTCAAAGTCATAAGTACTAACTGGGGAATAATAGTCCTTCAATATATTTCTCAGTTGTGGTGCATCGTCTTAATGTAGCATGAATCTTCTTACTGAAACATCTCTCTGATGGCGCAGCTGTTTGTCACCGTAAAGATTTGGAGAATGAGTGCAAAAATGGCTATAGTAATGTTTAAAGGCAACATAATATATTCTTTTGTTTTGAAATGTAGTAAAGAACAGAGTAACCATATGATGTTACTATTGTAGAAATGTCGAGTTAAGTTAAATAGTAACCATTGACGATATTGCTGAGATTACATATAAAAGCTGGTCTTTATATTTATAGAAATCTGCATAGCAGCATAGTAACGATAATATGATGTTACTCTGATGGAAAGTGACACTGGCCGTATTATGTTACTGTCATACAAAGACATCTACGATCTAATGAGAAGTACATAATAGGGAATGCCTATTAGGGGATCCGTATAGGCCAAACCGTCTGATGTACTTGTGATACTATGTTAGTGTCTTACAAAGTCAGAGTTACCACAAACCACTTAATATGACAACTGAGTTTCTATGGCAATAGTAGAACATGGTAAGTGTGACTTAATTTCTATGCTATGGCAGTAACATAATCTGGTAACTGTACTGTCATAGAACTTTCGAGTTACCATATTATGTTGTTGTTGTGGAAAGTGACGGTTAGCATGTTATGGTATTGTCATAGAAGCGCAGTTAGGATATAAAGTTACTGTCGTCGAAACCCAGAGTTTGAACTTTGAACTTAAGGGCAATCACTAGGAATATGTACGAAAGTGAAATACTATTAGCAGGCCCCTAGCTAGGATTGCTTTTTCTGTAGCCAAACAATGAGCCATAATCAATTTGGATAAGCCAATTTGGATTCGTGTTAGCGACATCTGTATGAAGGAGCTGGATGAATACAGATGTGCAATGATGTTGCTGTGTCTCTGTCTGTCTTGCTGTGCATCTCTCTTTGTATGTCTCGCCCTGTGCTCCCTGTGACAACCGCCGCAGCGACGACCTGAAAGTACACACGACAAGTGTTGAAGTGATATAATATCGGAGTCGACTGACGAACAGCTAGACACACACCGAGACAGATGAACAGGAACACAGGAAGGAACGAATGGATATAGTAATTACTGTTTAAAGGCAACATAATATATTGTTTTGTTGTGAAATGTAGTAAACTGACAGTGACCGCGTATCATCTTACTGTCATACAAACACATCTACCATATTATGAGAAGTAGCTAATAGAGAATCGCTATTAGGGGATTCCTATAGGGAAACCGTCTGATGTACTTGTGATATGATGTTAGTATTATTATAGCTTATAAGTTCTAGTTATAGCTGTTGGTACTCACCGAACGACGAGCTACCGCCGCTGAAAAGGCCGCGGCTGCGGCCGACGACTGGACGAAACCAGGGTCGAGGCGCGAGTGACTCAGTGAGCCGAGTTTAGCCTGGAGCGGCGCTCGCTGATGGTTAACCTTTATGCGTTATCCTAAACATTTATAATTACAAAATGCGAAATGTTGAGAATGTGAGTGGAAAGCAAAACATCGAATCTTTATTACGGCGTTCGTGGCAATAACGCACGTGGCGGTGCACCGAAAGTTAACCTCTGGCTAGACTAGTTCGCAGCTGCACTGTTTGCCGCAGAGCCTGTACATTGTGTAGCAGAGCGTGACAGCAGTCTAGCCTTGGCCAAAAAGCGTCGGTCCCCACGGTGTGTTTTTCTCGCACTCTCCACGCTCTGTCTCTGTCGCTGGGTCCGCCGCCACAGGTGAATAACGTATCTATCTATATACATGCAGAAATGCTGCCGCAGCCAGGCACACACGCCGCGTGACGACTTGTTCTTTTACGCGATTGAAAAAATAATGCGCTCGGGCCGTCCCGCGGCATAGAAACTCCCCGAGCGAGCGTCTGTTGCACATAGCATTTCCATGGTGCCCGGCGACGTCCGCGCGGGGGGAGGAGGGGGGCTGGAATGGTTTTGTACGTGATGTGGCGCATATTCTCACCTACCGTAACTAGCAATTGTCACCTAGTCACGAATCCACGACTTAGACGAAGTTGTGCGCAATAATAGGTGAATGACAGTCGAGTTTTATGATACAGATCGAACTATGAACATTCAGTTTATTTAGCATTATCGCCGTAGTATAGGCAGCAACTCGGCGAGCTGCGGCCGTCAGCCAGGCGCCACGGCCGGCAGCGCCAGGTGCGAGGAAGGGGGCTGTTCGTAAAAACACGTGTCATCAACATTCGTGAACGGACGACGTACGCAGCGAGCTTTTGCAGATAGCATGTAGACGGCGCCCGCCCACGTGGAGCGCCGGAAAAACGTCTGTGATAGACAAAACTCTATACTCGGCAGTAGTGCCCGTCATCGCGCAGCGGCCAACCAGCGAACGCGTCATCGCTGATTGAGCAGCATGTTCTGAGATTTCTTTGTAGGAGTCAGCTACGTCTTAGCCCATGAGGCGGCGCCACCGTCAAAAAACCGTTCAGGGGCCGTTTGGAGATGGCGCCTCCTCGTCCTCGCGCAATGTCGGTTGGATTGCGGGCCACGCAGTTTTCGCGTAGTGCGTTTTCGCAGACCGCCTGTCTCAGATATGCTCTCTCTAAGCGGACAAAAAAAGGGGGGGCGGCGTATTCGGCGTTGGGGCGGCGGCTTCGCCGGCGAGCGCGTGCGCGTGCGCGCAAACCGGGGCGCGCAACGCTCCGCGTCCGCTCGATGAGACGGATTACTAGAGAATGCGTTTGCCGAAAGGAGATGTTGATCCCAATTGCGCGGCGCAGATCTTTCGCGGAGTTCCGCGGGCAAGGCGGCACGGCGACGGGGGAACGTCCTACGAGCAGTATGGCAGCGCTGGCAGCTTATGGAATCGTGCGCCGAAAGGGGGGTTTTTGGAAAAATTGGCGGGCGCACGGATCATAGGCTGCGCAGCGGAACAGCTCCGGCGAATTTTACGCTGGGGGACACAGAGGGTTAGACATTTGGTGACGTTCAACGTGTTTGACGCTTTGCTTATATAAAACTGTAACCGAGTAATCTGTTTCGTAAAGCCGGGGGAGCTGTGTGACGCGAAATCATAGAAAGACTGTCGAAGATTGCTGACCATTCGCAGAACGCTTGCCCAGTAATGCAAACGGCTGTCAGGAATGCACGAAACACCTACGCGGGCGCTCTTCGCGCCCCCAAACGCTGCAACGTTTTTGGCAAACGTTCCAATGGCGAGGCTCGTACGGGAGTTGGAAAGCAGTGCGCGGCGCCTGCCGGCGCCGCCTATAGCCCATACACCTGGCGACTCTGCTCGCACCTCTCGCTTAGCTTAGTCACTCAATGGCTAATCGAGGTGGGAGGAGTCCTAGTTCATATATAGCGTTTGGCACGCGACGGCTTGGAGTGGGGCCGTCGGCATCGGCCGGGTGCACATACGGTGTCTGGGCACCTCGCAACACCCTTCTTGAAAGAGAGTAGGCCTATACTAGAAACATGAACAATTTCGTAAGTAATGATTTCGTATTTAGTTAGCATTAAATATTTTATTGAAGACGCGCCTTAAGGGTGCCTGGTGTCTATATAGCCTACGGTATTCTAACCCTAGCACAGGAGGCGTCTTCTTGCTAGTCGTTATAGTAGTCTAGTAAAGTTACTAGTGTTCAAGGATAGAGAAGCATGGCTGCCATATTATATGGGCCCCAATGTATGGCATGGCCAATAAACCCAAATGTCATTTACATCAATCTAAATATAATATTATAGTCAATATAATAGGTTAGGGGTTATGGTTAGGCTTCGTCATTATTACGTATTAGGTTAATACTAGTAACGAGGTTAGTCATTGATTAATATTACTGATTAGCGTCCTGGCGGTCCTGGTAAGTTACTAGTATCTAGTACTAGTAAGTGCTGGTAACTTAGTAGTACTTACTACTCCCTAGTACTGAGTAGTAGTAGTAGTAGTGGCGGTCGGTAGCAAAACGACGCATCTTTTGCGCAATCGCCATCTGGTAGCAGCGTCTCTAGTGCGCTAGTGGCTCAGTCTAGAAGCGAACTGATTGATCATGCAGTGTGTGCTGTACGTGCGGGCTTGACGGGGCACTGCCAGTGGCCTGGTAATATGCAAAAACGGCCTAAAACGGCTCGAGTCTGAGAGGAGATCGAGCGCGGGTGAACAGGTTCTAAGGAGAAGCATAGATGGCTACGAATAACGAACACGCGATGTCAGATTCCCAGGTTAGACTGGCACGGACGTTAATTTCGGGCAAGTCTCTTTCGCTACACTAAAAGTGTATAGTTATCGGCAGCGCTGTGAAATTCTGCGACCGCTCTGGGCGCGCAGTCTAACGAAAATTGTCTGCGATAATGCTCCAAGAGAGCCTCGTGGCGCGATCTATGGGCCGCGATATGTGACCCAGAATAACTTCAGGGCGTTTAAATTCAGATAAATTCGAAGTCGTTTTTATTAGGAAAAAACGTACCGGCGCGAAATAAAAAAAAACACCAATTCGACCATTCGATTTATTCTCGGCACTACGTGCAAAGTCCAAAATTCGGCAATGGCCAGAGACTGCTCAATTCAGACCGATTCTGGGCTTGTCTGTACTACACAAAGTGATTTGCGGTATATAGTTATCCATATTGGCAGCGAAGTGACGGCCTAATGGCGCGCATGAGATGGCGCTGTTCGCAAGCTTCGGCGCGATACCGGCTGCAGACTGTCTAGCAAAATCGCAGCTGGAATGCATTTCCAAACTCCGCGCAGCTGATGTCCCCCACACTAATGTACTTAAAATCACTTAGCTTTTTCTCTAGTTTTACCCCATACCCTACTTTAATGCGTGTTCTTGGCCTGGGGTGCATCAACTAAGAACAGTATTACACACAGTAAACAGGATCCACAATGAAAATATCACCACATGACTCTTCGGGCAAGGCGCTAGAGAATCATGTTACACCATACTCTTGGGCAAACTTGGTATGCCTAAAGCTTCAGATATCTACTCAACGTAGAACTAGCCGAAAGGCTAATGTACCGGTTCAGCTATCACGAATACCTGATCTGTTCAACAACTACTTCACCAATATCTCCCAACGTACACTCTCACTCTACTTCGACTTGCAGCTTCCTATGTCCTATTACCTACTAGGTTTTTAATACTAGTGTTGGATTTAAGACACTAAAACTTTGTAGGTGTGGAAGCTCTGGACAGAGATTCGCACTTCATATAAAAAACTTGGCCCTATGCAAAATTTAAGCAATTTTCCTACCGAAACATCCTAAATTCAAGAAGTAGCGAGTAACGGGTTGGGCACTGTTCTATTCGCGTTGTGATATTTTGATGTCAACTTTAGCTATTACATGCTATACGCTAATTACCTCTTATAAAAATTTGTGTACAGATGTGTTTTCCAGTTATGTTTTGTTCACGATTCTATTCAGTTGTATGATTACTGTCCATGTAACTCTGTGATACGAACCATGTCCTATGCTCAACAGTGTATATATGTGCATTTTGCAGCTTTGTTTGTTGCTACAGTTTTTTGTTTGTTTTTTGTTCACCTTTGTTCAAATTTTTTGTTCATTTTGTTTTGATCTTTTTGTCATTCTCTTTGTCATGTTTTTGCTGTTTCTCATACTGTATATATGTGCATTTTGCAGCTCTGTTGCCACCCAGCTCTAACATGTTGTATATTAGCTGTCATTGCAATTATTGTATCTATTTATAGTAACAATAGTAATAATTTATTTATAGTAACAATAGTAATAATCTATTTATAGTAACAATAGTAATAATCTATTTATAGTAACAATAGTAAAATTGTGTACAGATGTGTCGTTTTTTTCAGTTTATGTTTTTTTCAACGGACTATTCAGTTGTATGATTACTGTCCGCATGTAACTGTGTCACGAGAGCCATGTCCTGTGTTAAACTGTGTATATACTATTATCCATTGAAGTTTTTTTGGTGCTTTTTTGTTTTTTTGTTCACCTTTTGTTTAACCTTTTCTTGTTCATTTTGTTTTGATCACTTTGTTTTCATTCTTCTCTGTCATGTGTTGCTGTTTCTTAATACTATATATATATGTGTATTTTGCAGCTTCTGTTGCTACCGCAGCTCTAACATGTTGTCTATTTAAGGCTGTCCAATCGAACTATTGTATCTATTTTATATTAACAATAGTAATAATCTTATTGCGCTTATTTAGATAGGTAGATCGTATGCGTGTATGTATGTATATAATTATATTATATATATATAATATATATATATATATATATCATATATATATATAGATTTATATATAGACTGTATATATTATAATTAACTAAATTGGTCCATACATTACATCTATTAATGTAGCAGATGTTAATTCCGTGTTCATTTTTGTTTAGTTTCTTGTTTTACTGTTACTGTACTCGGTTATC